TGGGGCTTGAAGTGATGCAGCCTTTTCTCTGAACCCTACAGCTGATATGGTGATTTTATGATTGGAAACCACTCTGGTATCTGATTACTGGAACTGTCAATGACAGCAGGGATTGAGAGCTAAGGTATCCACTGGTTGCTCTCAAAAGTTTTTTGTTCATTAAAGTGGAGTTCCACCCAAAAGTGTAAGTTCCGCTTATCAAACTAATCCCCCCCGTTGCAACATTTGGCACCTTTTGGGGGTGTGAGGGGGGAGCCGGACATGGTTTTGACAGTTACCTGCTCCCACTTCTGGCTCAGTTCACCATGGCAAACGAGAGTCGGAAGTTCAGCCCCCCGTCCTTCCCCCACGCAGCCCTCTGGGACATTTCACAGGTCTTAGAGGACTGCAGCCCATTCACAAAGTGCATTACGATTCGCGCATGTGCAGTAGGAAACCATCTGTGAAGCAGCAAGGCTTCTTTGCCTGTTTCCCTTAGTCCAGATGGCAGCTCCAGCACCCGAAAGCCGATTGAAGAATCTGCTCAGGGTGAATCCCTGGATAGGTACATGCCCTAATATTAAAAGCCAGCAGTTACAGTATTTGTAGCTGCTGACTTTTAATTTTTGGGAGGGGGGCCGGAACTCCTCTTTAATATTGCCCAGTGCTGGGGAACATTCATACAGAAATTGGGGCTGGAGAGAGTTAAATCATTAACCTTGTATTCAGTTAAAGTGTTTAAAAACTAATTGAGAAGAAAAGCAAAAACACTTTAAAAAAAAAAGCACTTTTTTATAGATACTGACATTTGAAAAGCTAATGCTTTTTAAATGTCAGTATCTCAGTGCGAGTCAAGTTTTCTTGTCATATGGGCCTATTCGATTAGCAATTTAGCTATGGAGTATTGAAATTCTGCAAGCTTCAAACTTAACATTTGTATTTGCATCCAACTCATGTGCCAGTTCAGTTCTGACAATAAACCTTTGAAAATTCAGTAATAATTCTTTAATTATAGACCATTATTGAATTTTCTCTATGATGTCAATTGTGGCTAACAATATAAAAATGTCATAAAATATCTTGGTTAGAACATTGTAGTTTTATTTTTTTACAATACTAAGGGCTCATGTTGATGGGTGTTCTTTTCAAATACTGCGTTTGCAATTGGAATGGAAGCGCATGCGTTGAAATGGCTTTGTTTTGACCTGGTTTGTTTGCGATTCAAACTCACCTTTAGGAAATGCTGCATAGAAAGGCAGGCAAACGCCCAACACTAAAATGTCATGTTTAAAAATAATAATAGTCAATAAAAACTAATAAAATATCTCAATAAAATATAATCAAATACTTTTTTTAAAAAATTATAATAAAATAACAAAATATAATACAATAAAAAATAAATATATTCTAAAAAGAAAAAAAAAAAAAATCATCACAATTTAATAAAATAACTCAATCAAAGCACAGCATGTGGACATTGGAGCCCACTCTTTTGCTGACACACATATACAGTATGTTACATGGGTGGTAACATGTTAAAAAAATAAAATCTATTTAGTTATTTTTCTTAAAGAGGAGTATTCATTTGTAAAAGAGGTCAGTGCCCCATGAGATGGGTACCTTTTTCATATGGGCAAGGACAAAGGGGCCCCATAGTTACTGCCCGGGGGCCCCATGAGTTGTCAGTCCGCCCCTGGCAGGTATGGGTATTTTAACAGTTAGCTTGGAAACAATGTATATTTCATAGCTGGGCAATGCCCTGGAAGCTGGAAATCAATGAAGTAGACATACATTTTTCTAGTGTTCTCTATTTGCTTCTAGATCCCATTCTGATTGGCTGTCCTGCTGTTTTCTGAACACAGGAGGTCAGCCGCTTAGCATAGGCACCTTTAAGATAATGCTTTGCATGATTGGTTGAGGTGGAGAATCGGAGAGGTGTCATTACACTCTCCACCTCATCCAATCAGAGAAACGGTTTGTATTCAGTGTGTACCATCTTCATCAGAGCTTAATGAAGTGGGTACAGCCCTTGAAACATGTGAACATCTGTTTCTGCTATGTGATGTCGATGATGCCAACCTAGAGTTGTGGTTGGAGCCAATTGTTGGAGCTGGCTTCCTTCACTTTATGTGTTTGAACCTGATACCCAATTGGATTTGTGAATATATTGCATTGTGTTTTATGTATTTCAATAAATGGTAAATGGTAATGTAGGTACCGCACAAGGCTGGTGGGTCCTTCTTGTCATTCAGTCACATAATCATGTGCAAGCATATGTCCGTTTTTTAATTTCCTTGCACATGATTGAGCATCCAAATTGAGTTTTAGGAAACATTCTCTTCCTTTCTAATCAATCCCAAGGCATTAAAGTGGCACCAAATGATATCCTAATTCTCCAAAAACAATCCACACACTTCTATTACTTAAACAGGAACTCCAGTTGTTTTTAAAAATTAAAAGTCAGCACAGCTGCAAATACTTTATACATGCTTGGAAAAACAAAAGTATACCATATGCAATTATTGCTATTCAGAAATGTCATCACAATAGAAGCATGCATATGTTAACAATGTCATGACTAGTGCACCCGAGATATGTTCATACCAGACCCCACTACACCACCGTTACCCTTTACCCTTCCATACCAATCCCCTTTACTTACTATACTTACAGAAAACACAACACCAATTTTGGAGTAAAATGGCCAGCACAGCCTTTTATTAACAAATCAAGTTTAAACACATCAACCATTCCTTATAACAGAAAACATAAAGAGTTGTCGTTGGTCTTTGAAGGCACCCCCAAAACGATCCGAAATGCACCTGCGGACAACCATATTCCACTAGGGCCTCCAGCCGCAACCAACCAGCTCGGAGAAACAACCATACCGTCCGCAGTGCAGCACCACCACCTTCCAGTTAAACCTCGGTTAACTGGAATGTTCCCGGGCACACCATACCAACGATGGGTCCCACACCATTTTGTACCTCCAAGATAAGAACCACCTCTAAAGACCAACCACCGCCCAGGAACCGAAATAAACCCCCCAGAAGGAACACAACACTCACCAAACAGGGAGGGCGGGAGGGAAGCTCTCTCTCCCATGTCCAGCTCCCAACTGACGCCCCTCCCCAGGACACCCCACCCTAAAGTGCAGAAGACCCCACCTACACTCTCCTCTACCAACCAGATCCCCCAGCTATCCTTTACCAACCCTAATACTATCATTAACCCTTACACGTCTTCCTTCCCACTCTGGGCCTAGTCATGCCTGCCCTGCGCTAATTCTTTTCTTCTTTATCGCTGCGGGCATTTCTATATATCTTTTTAATTCTGTTATATTCACACACATTTTAAATTGTGCAAAAGTCTCACTCATGAAGTCAATATAAAACAATGCTTGTAATGGGTGTTGGGAATTGAAGTAAGGTATATAAATCTATCATTAAATCAAATAAAATTGCATCATTATCATATTAAACTGGAACATTACCCACAACAACTGATAATGTTCATTAGCAAGGATCATACAGTCCACATTAATAATTATGCTACCAATAATTATTAATGTGGAATGTATGTTCCTTGCTGTGCTGTAAATTGCCTCCAGCGATGCTCCTGTTTCTTCTTGTTGGCAGCCCCTATTTTGTTAAAGCCCAAAGCAATCACTTACTGCAAACTCTCCCCTTCTCCTTCATCACAAGAACTATACAGCATGTCACTTTCTGTAATTAAAATATATGTAAACCCTAACCTTGTAGAACAACCCATTCGGTTTAAAATAGAAATGAAAGGCAAAACACTTATTTATTTTTTACAGGTACTTATATAGCTATCATATCTAGATCGTGAAGGGGGTAAAACCTTTCTGGTTGTCAAGATGTTACCATTTTTTTCGCCGTATAAGACGCACTTTTTCTTCCCCAAAACTGGGGGGGAAATGTCAGTGCGTCTTATAAGGCGAATATGGAGCGGCCGGTCCAGTATTTCCACCGCGGCCGTGTCAGAATAGTCCCGGGCCGGTCGCTCAGCTCTGCAGCGGGACCTTACCTGTTCCTCTATCCAGCGGTGTGCTGTCTTTCCGGCTTCTGTAGTGTGGGCACTGGGCATGACAGCCAGGTGCCAAGTGCGCATGCGCAAGAAGCAGTGCTTTTTGTGAATGGTAAGGCGGTACCTGGGACACATGACAGATCCCAGAAGCCGCCGGACCAATCACAAAGCGCAAGTGCTTCTCGCTCATGCACACTGGGCACCCGGCTGTCATGCCGAGCGCCATTACAGAAGCCGGGAAGACAGCGCGCGGCTGGATCGAGGAACAGGTAAGATCAAACAAAAACTCTGCGGAAGTAAGAGCGGGTACCTGTCAAATTCAGGTACCCTCTCCCCACCTCCCCAAAGGTCAGCAGTCATCTGTACTGTCCGCAGTCTCTGGTCATCCCTGTGCTGTCCGCAGTCTCTGGTCATCCCTGTGCTGTCCGCAGTCTCTGGTCATCCCTGTGCTGTCCGCAGTCTCTGGTCATCCCTGTGCTGTCCGCAGTCTCTGGTCATCCCTGTGCTGTCCGCAGTCTCTGGTCATCCCTGTGCTGTCCGCAGTCTCTGGTCATCCCTGTGCTGTCCGCAGTCTCTGGTCATCTCCTGTACTGTGTCTGCAGTCCATTAGTTCAGAATTTTTTTTTTCCTTTTTCTGCCTCTAAAACCTAGGTGCATCTTATGGTCAGAAGTGCGTCTTATACGGAAAAAAATACGGTAATCATAATGCTGCTAGCATTAGTAAATAAATAGGAAAGTATATTGTGTTTACTTGTGTTCATTTTTTTTTCATGTCTTCATATACGCCTTGGTTTCCAGGCCTAGGCAATTGATGTCATATATCTCAGGAGTCTTTAGGAGAGGAGGAGGGGCTTTCTCAGTTAAGCACACTTTACTGCCTGCTTACCTAAGCTAAGGGCAGATGGATTCCAGGTAGTAAATGCTACATGAATCATCTGCCCCTTCTTAAGATGGTACTGCCAGAGATGCTAGGGGGCAGGGGTGGACTGACCATTTGGAAACTCGGGCACTGCCCGAGGGCCCGGGGTCAGTAGGGGGCCCCATGAGATGCCCCTGGTACCTTTTTCATAGGCTTTTTTGAGTTTTGGGCAAGGACACAGGGGCCCCATGATCCCCTATTGCCCGGGGGCCCCATGAGTTGTCAGTCCGCCCCTGCTAGGGGGTGTTTTTCTAAGTGATTTCTAAGCGAAATAAAGCATGGAGATATGGATGGATGGGGGTGTTTGCTTTAAACATTACATATTAAATAGTGTTTTTGGTTTGTGTTGCTCAGATGCTGTGTAGTTTCGCTTTAAGGACATCTCCTATTTTAGCAGTGGTAAGGTTATAGCTACTGGAGAAAAATATACTCTTCTTTCCCTTGCTATTATCAATGTGTTCAAAGCAAATAAAATATATATTTTTTATGTTTTAGATATACATGCAAAAGAGAACTGCTTCAGCTTATAAATAATCTCATCAAAGTGTGGAAGTATATCAAAAGTGTGCATCTTTGTATAGCTTGTCTTTAGACATGTACATAGGGACAGTCATATTTCATGACACAGTATATGAGATAGGGCTGCCTGACTTAAAGTGGAGTTCCACTCACGCTGTCAAAAAAACTGTACTGTAGCTGCTGACTTATAAAAAAACAGCCACTTACCTGTCCCTCGGTCCCGTGGTGTGTCCCTGCAGCCCTTTTCACCTGTATTCCAGGAGGCCAGCATCTTCAGTGTGGGCACCCGGCTGTGATAGCTTGCGGCTTCACAGCCGGGTACCCACTGCGCATGCGCGAGTAGTGCTGCGCTTTGTGATTGGTCCTGTAGTCTTCTGGGACCTGTCACATGTCCCAAAAGACTACAGGAAGGGAGGGAGGGAGAACACCTTCTGTTTCTGATTGCTTAGGCGATCAGACTGGAAATGGGAGTGGGTACCTGTCAAATTCGGGTACCCGCCCTCCAAAGGTGCCAATCCTTAATGGGGAGCATGCGCGAGTAGTGCTGCGCTTTGTGATTGGTTCTGTAGTCTTCTGGGACCTGTCACGTGTCCCAAAAGACTACAGGAAGGGAGAGAGGGAGAACACCTTCTGTTTCTGATTGCTTAGGCGATCAGACTGGAAATGGGAGTGGGTACCTGTCAAATTCGGGTACCCGCCCTCTAAAGGTGCCAATCCTTAATGGGGAGCGGGGGAACAGTCCTTAAAGCGGAACTTCCCCTTTTGGGTGGAGCTCCGCTTTAAAGTATGTTTCCACTTGTGCAGCCAAATCAGTATACCACCTACTTTATATCTATTACATGTCCCCATTCACGTAGCATAACTTTTTTTTTTTTCTTATTGCAGCCAACTTTTTTTTTTTTAGATGCTCTATTTTGGATCCTCCAGCAAGGAAACATCCTAGGTATTTCTCTTTGCTTATGAGTGGGGCTGGGCAGCTGTGTTTGCCATAATTAACCCCGTCTGTACTGCTTGGGAAGATCTTCATTATCAGTTGTAATTAGATTTGAACACTGTCTGTCCTAGCAAAGGGTTAATGGTGTAGAGGCTGGGCTTGTTGCATTGTATGTTAATGAGGACCAATCTGAGACAGGCTCACTTCAACATTGTTCAAAAAACCTTGTAGTCAACCATGACACCTTGTCCTGAGAAATTCTGAGAAATCTCACATTTGATTGCAAAAATGGAAATATACTTTAAAGACTAAGTTCACCTTTTACATAAAAATAATGCAAAATGCACATCTTTTGCAAGGTAAAAAAAAAATGCTTTTATTATTTTTTAACTCTGCAACTTGTAGGGCATTGCACCTGTGATCAGTAGATCGCAGGTGAAATGCCTGGATCCTGCAGACACTCAGTAAGCTGTCTGCCCATGCCTGTAGGCAGAGCGAATCAATGAACTATGAGGACACTCACCCACGCCCCTGCTGTTCATTCAGAACTACAAGCCACTGGGCATAGAGGCTGGAGGTGGGTGTAGTTCATTCATTCACAAAACTCTGTAAATGAATGATGTGACTGTGTAGGCGGAGCCTGGCACTGGTTTTAAATTCTGACATCGGGTGTGGAAGAAAGAACCCTATACCCACTGTCACAGGTAGGGAGGATTGGGGGGAAGAGGAGGCAGGAGCTGGAATATGTTATATGTTACATGTTCCACCCTAAATATAGGTGAAACATGTAACATGTTCCAAAGGTAAACTTACCTTCTAAACCAGGGTTCTCCAGACTTTATAAACAAAGGGCCAATCAGGGGTGGACTGATCATTTGGAAACTCGGGCACTGCCCGAGGGCCCGGGGTCAGTAGGGAGCCCCATGAGATGCCCCTGGTACCTTTTTCATAGGCTTTTTTGAGTTTGGGCAAGGACACAGGGGCCCCATGATCCCCTATTGCCCGGGGGCCCCATGAGTTGTCAGTCCGCCCCTGGGGCCAATTTACTGTCCTTCAGACTTTAGGGGGGCGGACTGTGCCCAGTGGGAGTATACAATGCCCCATCTTTGGTATTAGGGGGAGAAAAAGTACCCCATCATTGGTGTCAGTGGGGGAAATAGTGCCCCATTGTTAGTGTCAGTGGGAGGAACAGTGCCACACTGTTGGTGTCAGTGGAAGGAAAGGTGCCCCATCATTGGTGTCAGGTGAAACAACAGTGCCCCATTTTGATGTTAGTGGAAAGAATAGTGCCCTATTGTTGCTATCATAGGAAGGAATAGCGCTTGATTGTTATTGTTAGTGTAATTAGTGTCAGTGGAAGGAATTGTGCTCCATCATTGGTGTCAGTGGAAGGAATAGTGCCATATTGTAGGTGGCCAGTGGCAGGAATTATGCCCTATTGTTAGTGCCAGTGGAAAAAAGGGCCGCATCTGGCCCCTGGACCGCAATTTGAAGACTTTTGTCATAAAGCAATAAACTCTGAGCAGTTCCTAAATGCCTCTAATGTTCAATATTTGCCAGAGTCCATATTATCTATTGCCCAGGCTAGGATTCTTAGGAGCATTTTTTTCCTGGTTGGCAAGAAAGAGGGAGTTTCTTTACTCAGAATTATAATGTAATTTGGTAAGCCTGGCATGTTGAGGAACTTGATCAGAAATCTCAATTTCTGTGAATGACAAGACTGATCTTGGGGATAAAAGGCTGCAGCTTTTTTCATGAACTCTTGAAAAGAATTAGACTAATCAAATGAAACAATACACACAAAGAGATTTGCAACCCCGTTTGATGCTTGCCATGAAAAGATTCATGGACTTGGCCAAGAAGTCGATTGTTCAAAGACTGCAAAAAGATCCAAGAAGATGGCAGCAAATTTGCAGCGCTAATGACAGGAGCAGTCAGCAGTGACATTGTATGAATTGGATGAAATTGTTAGGATTCTTAATTATTGCTTTGCGTTACTTTTCCCTCACAGGGTTAGCCAATTTAAGCTGGCTCCAGGGCTAGTCCTGTCTAAGAGCAAAATAAAATGAGCTAAGCTGCTTTTTTTTAGCCCGGGAAAAATATATCAGTAGGTTAATATGGAACAGAAAATCAATTATGAACTTTCACTGAATCTCAGAAAAGAAGATACTTACGTCCACCCCCAATTAACTCTCCCTTTCAGTAGAGGCTGATAATTTAACAATCAGGCCTACGAATATATGTAGCTATGATCAAGTGACATGGCTGTCATAATTAAATGGAAATCTGAATTCCAAAGGTCTTTAATCAATAATTTACATTATCTGCTTAAAAGAAAAACTTACTGCTGTTTTGTGTATAATAGACTTGTCTATGAAGAAATTACATAGTGACAGATGCTAGCAAAACAAATGAGCAAATTGTGTATTCTGTTCTATACCCTAGTAAGAGGGCTGTTCCAAAAGTAATGCAAAAATGAGCATAACTTCTTTATTAACTTACATAGGTTGTTCAAATGTCACATGTGGGTAGAGTAGCTCTTCCTCTATAGTAACTCCTCTTCTTCATTTTCATTGGAGGTGAATAATGGATTTCAAGCAGAAGCAACATGCCATCAATGAGTTCTTGATAAAGAAGGGGTGCAGGCTGTCTGACATCCACACAAGGCTACAAGCTGTTTATGGAGATGACACCATTGACAAGACAAGGTCTTATTATGGGTGACTATTGTCAATGGTGTCATCTCCATAAACATTCTGTAGCTTTCTGAAGAAGTCAGACAGCCTGTACCCCTCCTTCATCAAGAAATCAATGACGGCCCAATACTTCTGCATGGAAACCATCATTCACCTTTCCAACCGCTCCGTTTCCACCAGCCCCCTCTGCCAATCCCTCCACTGGCTTCCGATTGCGCAACGGATCAAATTCAAAATCCTAACACTGACGTACAAAGCCGTCCACCATACTGCCCCGAACTACATCCCTGACCTAATATCCAAGTACCGCCCAGCACGCACACTCGGCTCTTTACAAGACCTCCTTCTCTCTAGTTCCCTGGTCTCCTCATCCCATGCCCGCCTCCAGGACTTCTCCAGGGTGTCACCCATCCTCTGGAACTCCCTGCCCCAACCCATCAGATTATCACCTACTCTCCTCTCCTTTAGGTGTACCCTGAAAACCCATCTCTTCAGGGAAGCCTACCCCACCCCCTGCTAACTTGCCGACCTCCTCCACTCTTCCTACCACTCCATCCACCACAGCTATCTCCTCCTGTACCACCATCCCCTCCCTCCTAGATTGTAAGCTCGAAAGAGCAGGGCCCTCAATCCCCTCATGTTTTGCATTGTATTGGTATTGTTCTGTCACATGTTCTGTCCCCCTTTGTAATGTACAGCGCTGAGCGAACTATTGGTGTTTTATAAATACTGTATAATAATACTGTATAATAATAATAATAATAATTTATCGCCAATGAAAAATAAGAAGCGTTACTATAGAGAAAGGGTTATCCAACCAACATGTGACATATGTAAGTCATAAACAAGCTATCCCCACTTTTGCATTTATTTTGGTACAGCTCTCGTATTATGACATGTTTGTTCAAATCTTCAAATAGACCATTCCATTACAGTAACTCGCATTTTTCGACATGAATGCTAAGGTTCTGCATTTCACTTGTATTACTCTGTATTTTGATTCCTTGTTCATAGAGTTCTTCTGCTTTGGTCAAAGACAGCAAGATACCTCTTGTTTGTTATAAGAAAGATTTTAAAAGGGTAGCTTTATTGGAGTACAGCAGTAACTCTCTTAGCAAAAACTCTCCCATCAGTAGATATAATGACATACATTGGAAGAAATTCTTAAAGTGTATGTCCAGGCCAATTAAAAAAATGTAGTACATCTCTGCAATTAGTGCACATCATATGTTTTGTCTCTTTTAAAACCCCACAAGTACAGAAAAATATTGGATCCTGCCAGAGATCCAGTGAGCTTCTAATTTATTTTAGTGAGTTGACAATGCTACCTCTGTTACACCAAAATCACAAGCAGTTTGTCAGCCTTGCATGACTTCACTTCTGCAGAACACCCCTTCTTCTCATCTCAGTAACATAAGTGGTAGGTGTTTGGTAGTCCAAAAGGGGAGAATTTAGGCTTGAGTGCTTAAGGAAATCTTCTGGAGGTGTGGCACAGACTTTGGCGTTCATCTCCTTGAGCTCTAGTACCCTGTTTCAGTGTAAGGATCCCACAAGAGTTTGGTGGCCATTTTTTGCAGAAACACATTTTAAATAGGGTAATGTGTGCAACAAGGTGATGAAGAAAAATTATATTTAGGTAGGGGCAGTTTCTGACCTGTAAGGTGCCCTCTCTACCTCCATACCCCCTCATCCCACCCCCAGTCACTGGATTGTGAAAACCTTCCTTGTCATGGGATAAAAAAGGAATAAAGACCAGGACCTTTGTCAATGACTGATGATTGGAGTATGGGGCCCTTATAGAAGGCATTATCCTTTCAACTTTGCCTCAACTATGTAAACAGTGGACTTTAGGATTTCAATCGCAGGGTTTCACTGCTCTGGGCAAAGTCAGCTCAACGAGCTGAAAATACTAGTGAGGAATTGACTGTTCCTGCCTGCTTGTAATATTGTATGAAGTCACACCTTATATGTAAATCTCTAATACAGACAAATTGGTTTCAACCCTAATACAAGACCTTTACTTGGACATTCATCTGGATGGTTGGTTATTTATGACCACTGTTATTCTTTACAGGCTTACATACACTGCTCGAAAAAACTAAAGGAACACTTTGAAAACACATCAGATCTCAATGGGGGAAAAAAATATCATGCTGAATATCTATACTGATATGGGATGAGTAATATGTTAGGAACGTAAGGATGCCGCATTGTTTGATAAAAATGAAAACGATCAACCTACAGAGGACTGAAATCAAAGACACCCCAAAAATCAAAGTGAAAAAATGATGCAGAAGGCTAGTGTCACGTACCGGATGGGAGACTGAATTGATGAGGTCGGCCTCACTTGTGTCTCTAGCCCTGATCCCGCTGATGTTGGAACAGAGGGAGTCTAGGGACCAGAGGGACAAGAGCGCCAGAGGTTGTTGCTTGCAGCTCTTGCAGATGATGACCTTGGAAGGTGGATGATCCTCTGATTTGGACACCGTAATAATAGACAGAGCAGGTTCTGTGGATTGCCAGACGTGCAGCAGAGCAAGGTAGGTAGTGAGGACAAGAGACTGGAGCAGAGTCATGGGATAGCCGGGGTCATCAACAGTCGGGCAGCGCGGTACAGAATCAGAAGGAAAAGCCAAGGTCAGGAGCAGAGCCGAAGTCAGGAACTGGTAACAGGACAATAATCAAAGTCGGGTCAGGAACAAGCCGGGTTGGTAACAAAGAAATCATACAGGAACAAGCAGGACACGCGGGGGGGGGGGGGGGGAGCTGAAGACCAGTCAGCACTGAACCTGAGCAGAGGCACTCCTTAAATGGGCCATCAGGCGTCAATCTTCGCCGTGCGTGTGCACATGCACGTGCGCGATCGCGAATTCCTGCGTGCATGCTCACAACCGGCAATTCTTCTGTGGGAATTCCTATGCGCATGCGCGTTCCCGATCGCGATTCTTCTTGCCGGAAATCCCTTACAGCTAGTCCATTTTGCTGAAATTTCATTGCAGCAACTTAAAGTGGTATTCAGTAGTTTGTATGGCCCCACGTGTTTGTATGCATGCCTGACAACGTTGGGGCATACTCCTAATGAGATGATGGGTGGTGTTATGGGGTATTTCCTCCCAGATCTGGACCAGGGCATCATTGAGCTCCTAGACAGTGTGAGGTGCAAACTGGTGGAGGATGATGGACCAAAACATGATATCCCAAAGGTGTTCTATTGGATTTAGGTCAGGCGAGCATGGGGGTCATTCAGTGGTATCAATTCCTTCATCCTCCAGGAACTGCCTGCATGCTCTCACCACATGAGGCTGGGTATTGCCGTGCA